GACTTGACTGCACTACATCCGCTGATGGCTTTTTCCGCACTGATTATTATTGTTTTAATATGATGTTTGAGAGATACATTTTACTATGATTGGTTTTGGAAAAATGTTTGTATGGATTTGATGGTTTAAAAATGAAAAGTTTTATTGGTATATTTGGGACGTTACAAAAATAGACTAAAATTGACAAGTGAAACATCATCCCCATTTTTAGAGAAATGAATAATGTTATTCCATATTTGGGTTAATATTTGTCATATCTCAAAAAAATGGGGGAATAAATGGGGTGGTTTTAGAGAATAATGGGGAAAAAATGGGAAAACATGATATTTGGGGTAGATTGGAGATGCTCTATTACTTGAAATCTCTCTTTTGCATTTTTAGAACACTAAAGACAGCCAACTCTTATATATTTTTAGCCACCACCAGAAACCAACTTCTCTTTTCAGAAACCATTTCTTCTACCGAAAACAACGCTTGCCTTCGTACCTCACTGACACGTAGCAAATCTGTAAATCTTGAGGATATGTGTCGATGTTGCCAACATGCATGTATGTGCGATCTTAAACTTAGATCTGCAAATCAAGAGGAGTTGGTTGCATAGGACCCTTATGGATCTTGCAAACATATTTTAAACAAGACAAGGCGAGGAAACATAAACAAAGGGAAGTGCCAGGAAACATAAAAAAAAAAAATAGGAACTTTAATTACTACCTTAGATAGTGTATTTATTATTTTTTAGTTACTACCTTGGAGAGTGTATTTACTATTTACTAAGGAGCATGGTACGACTCGATGAGGTTTTAGCCAAACCTAAAAGAAAAACGTTACTTTCGATTTTTGAAGTTTAGAAATCCATGAGTTTGATATATTTGTGCAATTTTTTCCTGTCAGTTTTTTAGTATTGGATTTTGAAACCAAAGGTAGATGCTTTTGTTTATTTAGGAAAATGACACCTTAATAGCAATTTTGTATAAGTTGGAGCTAGCCCACTTGGCTAACATGTAGGTTCAAAACGAACAACTAACTAGGTGGTCAGGGGTTCAATCACTCGCAGAAAAGAAAAAAATAATTATTTTCTGTTCCAAAAAAACAATAAAATAATTATTTTCCGATCCAAAAAAACAATAGCAACTTTGTGTGCTTGACATAAATAGTGTTTAACTAAATCTTTGACCTATTTACATAAATGGTCCCTAGACAACAACTATGTCTTATTTATATAAATGGTCTATGTAGAAGTCTTTAACCTATTTACATAAATAGTCCTTGTAACTATATATATATATATATATATATATATATATATATATATATATATATATATATATAATGCAGTTTTTTTGGACGTTTTTTCACTCAAAATCAAGGTAGTGAAGGTAGCCCAACCAGGAGGTGCCATGATTGAGTTGTAGACTAGAAAACTCAAAACTCTAATGACATCTTTGACAACACATACCTTCGTGGTATAATTTACCATAGTTAATTTTTGACAAGAACTTGTGAAGTGGCGAGTGCACCACCTACTACAAACGACTTAAAAACACCGTGTCTCATGTCCACAACTATCCATGTTACATGTACATATATGCACGACATCCTAATTTCACCCCATCATTTTGACATACGTGGTAAAGAGATAAAATTCCATATAAACCATTTTAGATATTCTTTTTTCTATTATCTATGTGGGACAAGTAAAGAAGACTTTGCAACCTTTCAAAATTCAAACCACGTGGCCTTCAACAATGTCTTGGCAAGGACATTTCAATATTTTGAGGAGTAAAATAGAATAGTTATAAGGAAATTCTAAAATCAAGATTTAACATAAAAAGGAAAATAAAATAAAAGACAAGGAAATTCTAAAGTCATGATTAAACATAAACAATTTAGTTTCAAAAATTCAAAGCGAACAAAGAAATAACCTATGAAAGAACCAAATACGGAGTAGTTAAGTTTGAATAATTTGGGAAATGATTTTGGAGAGTAATTATCTATTTGCTTTGCTTATATTTAAGCATTTTATATATTTCATTGACCAACGAACTTTTTAAAAGTATTATGCTATCATTGTAACCGACTATCTTAAGTTACAACTTACTTTGTGTATACATGGCAACTACGTGACAAATTAAAATGAGAAAATGACTTAACATAGTAGTTATCTATATGTTTTGTTTACATTTAGACAACTTTTTTTTTATACATAACTAGGTGTGAGACTTATGTACTATACAAGTTGATAAACAAAAATTAAATATTAAGGTGTAAATATTACATATTTTTTAAAGTAAAATTTAGAAATAAATACAAACAATATGATAAATAAGTAAATAATTCAATATATAATAATAATAATAATAATAAGTAATGGCATATTCTAAATAAATGCGTTGAATGACAAGTTTTCAAATAATTTTTTTTAAATACAACATTAAATGTTCTATTTGTAAGTTTATCGTTATTGTCTAAAATTACTATTTTAATGTGTCTTTGCTTTTAACCTTGGACAATGCAATAATTGTCCATGAGTAAACATTGATTGTCTAAAAAACCACATTCGGTAATGATTGTACTTGACTCTTATTTATTGTCATCACAAAATATACGGCCAATAGAAATTGTCTTTTTTGAAATATAAAATGAATCATTTTATCCATACACGTTAAAAACATTATTGAAATTAATGTACGGTTTTCCTATATTACTTCTAAAATTTATATCTGCTTTTATAACACGATTTATACAATGCTATAACACATAGTCTCATTCCATTACACAAACTGCGTCAAAATATGATTTTTAAATTGAAATACATATACCCTCTATTATATATGAATAATAACATTGTTCATCTTTTTTGAACTTCTGTTTAATTCATGAGCTTATATATAATTTTATTATAATAATAATTACAACTAATTATTTTTTGATATTTTTAAATATCACAATAATAATAATAACACATCCATTGTGAAGTTATATTTAATCCATGAGCAAAATAATATTTTAATTAGTTATTTTGAATTGATATTTACGTAACTCAGTTAGAAAATACTAAATATATATTAAAAAAATATGATCTAACAATTGAATTAAAAAAAGTAGTCATAAAATATATCAGTTTTTCTTCTTAAACTATTTTATGATTTTATTTCTAATAATGATATTAAGGATAACAAAAAAAAAACAATGTTAATAAACATTAATTTAAGGTGAAAGAATATCGTCTAAATGCCAAAAAAAAAAAGATAATCATATTGTGCCCCTATGAAGTTAAAAAAATAAGTTTGGGGATCAAGTATCTATTCACCGGTCTCTCGAAGCTTCTTCTCTACATCTCTCCTCTTTTGCTGTCCACCGAACATATGAACAAGTATAACGAAATTTTTGTTAATGGCGATGGAAGTTAAGCCTATCATCTCTCCCTTTTTGCTCTCCAACGAACATATGAACAAGTATAAAATTTTTGTTATCGTTAATTTCATTATCAGGTTTCTTCATCTCCCAAATCACTTCGACCTTGTGGCATAAGCATTTGATCTCTAAATTTTTTTTTTGGCTTTATTGGGATACAATGTGAGTTTTTTTTTTGTCTAAATGGTTACTGAACCGGCTATTACATGTTGAGAGATACTAAAGGAGCAGATTGTATCTTAGTTTATACCCCCATAAAGTCCGACAAAACTTTAAGGACCGGATCGACCAACCCAAAAAACTTTGTAGGGTATTTGCGTCATTTCCCCTTTATTTTTCCTTAGTTGAAAAATAAAAATGAAAAATAAGAAAATCTTTAAGATTGAGTAAGATACACCATAAATATAGGAATTTATAAACATAGGTTTTTATACACTTAAGTAATATATTAATAATATTTATTATTATGATGTGTCATTTATTAGATAGCATTTGAATAAAAATGAAAAAAAATACAAAAATTACAAGTGGGTATTAAATAATTTAAGAAAATCAGAAAATGACAAGTGTCATACTTCATGAGAAGCCAACAAGTGGCAAAATAGATTTTTATTTGTTAGAGTAAGATTAACCATCGTACTTGTTAGAAGTGTTCAATGCCATTTATAACGAACAATGAATTTTTTTTTATTTTGATAAACCAACTATTGTTGATTATGAATTACTAAATAACAGAAAATAATCATTTATCTGTTTGCTTATTTTATACTATTTTTTCTTTCATTCTATATGTTTATGACGATGAATACATCTAATAACATGTTTTGTGGCGATGTGTATCATCTATTATTTGTCAGGATATGTAGTATTCATGTATTTTATAATTGTAGTAATTTTGAGATAAAAAGAGTTTTAGTATAAAAAATACAATAAAAATAAATTTAAAAGCAACATCAAAATTTAGAAGATATATATTACAAAGTTACTTAATCATCAAAATTGAATATTAGTTACAAATGATAATTAACCTCTGAAGTTATTTTCTCATTTTAAGTTGTCATGTAAATATTCTCTAACAAATGAATGTTTTTTTTTATCATTTGTCACACTTTCATTCAATTTGTCAAATGTTATTTTATGGTTATTTTGAATTAATTTTTTTTCCACATGTCATTTTATAAGTTTTTCTATTTTATTAAATTCTACATAATATTTTAATATAATAATTGCAATAAATATAGTAATAAATGGATATCAATTTCATTAATGAACGTTACCTTTTAATTTTAAAATTCTTAAATTGAAAGTTTATTAGTTTCTTTTATTTATTTAAATTATTTGTTTAAATTTAAAAGATAAAAAATATTTATATTATAATAATTCATTATTTTTCTTATTTTTCTTATAAATTCAAAGTTTTTAAATATTAAAACCTTTATATATATATATATATATATATATATATATATATATATATATATATATATATATATATATATATATATATTAACCAATGTAATAAATGGGTATTACAACTATTGTCTTATATACGCCTAGTAAGTTGTAACCTAAAATTAACAGTCATAATGGTAATATTTTGAATACTTTCAACAAATTTGTTGGTTAATTATATATAAATCGTTTTTACATAAATATAAAGAAGACAAATAGATAATTATCCTGCTAACTATTTTTCGAGATGATTATTATAGATTTTCAAGCATAACATTTAAAGAAGTTTGAATAAATTTCATGACTACAAAAATCAAATAAACTTCTTTTTCAAAGAAGAAGAAAATAAATTTTAATTTTACCGACAAAAGCTATCTAGTATTTAAGAAAATTAAACCTAAAAATATCTTAATTTGATTATTATAAAATGCTCTTTTTGTCCACAAACACAAATCCCTCTCTTGCTCCCTTTCCATCGCGATGATCGATGCTCTTCCATGGCCAGTAAATTCTCTACACAGAAAGTCAAAGTAGTCCATCAAATCGTTCTCCTTTAGATCTCCTCATCTAACCAGGTAATTTTCACTTTTATCCAATTTCATCTCATCAATAATTTCGAGAGTAATGAACTATTACTAAATTTGATTCAATTACTGCAATCGGAGCGCTTGCTTGTGTCGGATTTTGAGAATTTTAGTTAATCAGTATGAACAAAGAATCCATGGATGAATTCATGATTCATGAAGATGAAAAAAGTTGATTTCCAGTTTCTATTTTTAGGCAAAAACTCAGCCTAATTTTGTACTCGTTGAATTTCAGACAAATATGCAGAGTCAAATCGTATGCAGTGGTTGTAGAAGCATTTTGCTTTACCCTAGAGGAGCTTCTAATGTGTGCTGTGCCTTGTGTAATGCCGTTACCTCGGTTCCTCCTCCTGGTAAGATTTATCGAATAATTGAAGTTATTTGAGACATGATCGAATCAATATTTACAAATTACGACATATTAAAACTGTTACTTTTTGGTTTTTTTTTTTTTTTTTTTTCTAATATTACATGACTAATTCAACAATTAAACGTAATCAACAAGTTGTTTCTGTAAAAAGTCAATGTCTGCTACATCAGTCAAAGGACGCGTAAACAACTATAGAAGGGGATAGAAACGTAGAAGAAGAACTTGTATATCATAAGACACACGAAATGAACACGGATTTTGAATGATAAACGTTAAGATTGTTGGGTTATTTTAATCATATAAATTTATTTATAAGATTTGTGCTATAAGCTTTAAATCAACACCAGAAGTTTTTCTTTTTGTGGTTTCGCCTTTGTTTGTTACAGTTTTGGTGATTTCGAGTATCTTCTTCTTCTTCTTCTTCTGTAAAAACTCAAACTGGTTTTAAATAAAACCTTTTCAGGGATGGAAATGGATCAACTTATATGTGGAGGTTGTCGAACATTGCTAATGTACACACGTGGTGCTACAAGTGTGAGATGTTCCTGTTGTCATACTGTTAATCTTGCACCAGGTATAATTATAAATAATATTTAAATAATAAAAAAAAAGTCTTCCAAACCTTTCTTTATTCACTTAATTTTTTTTTTGCAGTTTCTAATCAGCTTGCTCAAGTAAATTGTGGAAATTGTAGAACAATGTTAATGTATCCATTTGGTGCTCCATCTGTTAAATGTGCAGTTTGTCACTACATTACAAATGTCAATGTCAGTTCAACAAAACAAAACCTATCTTCTATTATTTTGTGAATTACTCTTATATTTAACTTTTATATTTTATAAACAAATTTTTTTTTTAAATACAGATGAGCAATGGAAGGGTTCCTGTTCCAATGAGACCTAATGGAACTACAACATCAGGATCAATGCCACCTGTTTCAACAGTGAGTTTCAAGCTCTTTTTTCCTTTATTAGGGTTAAAAGAAAGATATAACAATTTACTTTCATATATAAATATATGTTCATTTATCCTTTTTTAATTAGATGTGTTTATTTTCCAATTTTCTGATCATGGATATTATAGTAAATGAAAGTACGTTGCTATTTCTTTTGTGTAGGCAACACCTCACTCTCATAACCAAACTGTAGTAGTTGAAAATCCGATGTCTGTTGATGAGAGTGGAAAATTGGTAAGTAATGTTGTTGTTGGGGTAACCACGGATAAGAAGAAGGCGATAAAGTGAATAATGGATCCATGAATGAAAATGGTTGGTTTTAAGGATGTAGTAATGTGTATAGAAATAGAAAAAAGGAAAATGGTCATTATTTTGACTTTATTGTATCTTAGATTATTTAAAAAAATTGAGATTTGATGTGGTGTTTTGGTTAGGAAGGGGACATAGGGCACATGTTTATTAATTTGTGGTCATTTGGCCCCACAATTGTGCTTGTTATATGGTTGTTGGTTTGGAATTGCTTGAAAATTATGGAATATGTGGTTTTTGTTGTTTTTGAGTATTTTCAATTTTTACTAGCATTTTTCACTAAAATGTTGTAATTGTGGTGTAGACAATGCTTCATAGATTATCTGTGTTAGAATGTAAATATTGTATGTATTAGTTTTGGCCTAGTTAGCCTATGAGTCTGTAGGGTTTTCTATAATTAGGGCTCTTACCTTTATATGGAGTCATATATGTTCCCTTTTTAAAGATGAACGATCAATCTAGTATTTTCACCTTCAATCTCTTTTTAGTTTACATGGTATCAAAGCCCAGGTTTAGGGATTGGAATATGTTTTGCGTTAAGCATGGTATTTTTTGAGATATTGTTCACTGGCATTATTCACAATGTCTGTTCATCGACATTGTTCAACGAGTATTATTCATTAAGTTTTTGGTATTGTGTCGCTTTTGAGTTTTCTAATTAGGGCATAATGTGAGTGTCATTCTGAGTTTTTTGATTTGGGCACCCTGTAAATACATTGTTTCTTTTGCTGATACTGTGTGGAGTTCCGACCTAATCTTGGGAGTGATTTGAAAATGACTATAAATGGTCAAAAAATTCATGTTTCTGGTTTTTATATTACACCCGAAATTCATGCCTCCGTTTTTACTTTTGGTTTTGGTTCTAAGACTGTTACTATATATGCGGAGGAGTATGCTCAATTTTTAGGATACAAAAATTCACATTCGCCGGTTGCCTTTTTTTAAGGATTAATGGGACATCGATTTAGGTGCTTCAAATCACATGAAATGTACCCATCATCTCTTGTATGATTCCTTGCTAGATTAGGGCTAAGGATCTAGGAAGGATGTCTTGTATGCCTACTATATGAGCTTGTAGATCTGCATACTAGTACTGATCAATCAGTGATAGGATGGCCTGTTTAGGTTATGCCTGATTGTTTGAGCTCTTGGAATTGCCTGTTAGTATGGTTCAGATAGTTGAATAGAATGGTTTGATTGGAGTAGGTTGGTTAGTTTTTTCCGTTGTCCGAATGTTGCTTGCTTTGTGCTTTTTTGGGCTCTTAGCAATGTGAGTTAGCTACTAAGTGAATATGCTAAGTCACATGTGGCACATGCTGGATAATCTCAGAGTAATGGACTTGGCCCTATTGCGCAGCTCTCGTCTGAGTCCAACCATTCTAGGATTGAGTCTTTTACTCGAAGGATTATCTGATCTCTGTTGCATGTGACTATATTTATGAGGTAGCTAGTTGACATTACTGGGAATCTTTCAGCAGCTGAGGACTGGGTGGGTTCGGGAACCTAAGAAAGCCTAGGATATGATTCAGTGGGTTAGTAGTGAGGTTTAGTGAGACTTGGGTGCATCAGTTTGACGAAGTGACTTGGAGGATTCGGGAGGATTGCTGAGGAAAGTATGGATAGGTGTGGAAGGAAGTATTGGGCCCGTACTACTGAAAGCACAAGATCCATACTCGAATCGGTGAGAGTCTTGGAGAATCTGAGAAGCTTCGGGGAGGAGTTTGTGACCCGGTTTAGGGGCAGAGGATGTTCCAGATGTTGTAGCTCAGCTATTGGCAAGTGAGCTAGTGAGCGTGACAGGGTGTCAGACCCTGGAGGATATGACTTCCAAAGTCCGAGGATATGAGATCGATTTGGAGCACTTTGAGAAGAGAGGGTCGTGCCAGGTGCATATAGTAGAGGGTCCCGGGAAGAGACCCAATACTTCTGATCATCGGGTGAAAGGCCAGCAGGGTCGGAGTCAGTGCAACACGTGCGGGAAAGTACACAAGGGAGTTTGTCGTTCCAGGGGTTTAGGCTGCTACATGTTGAAGAGAATTGTATTTTCGCATGGGTTGCGAGAATGGAAGTGGGAACGAGGATTCGTCAGCCAGGGTAAAGATTAAGGCCTCCGATCGCCAACATGGGGGTAGATTGAGGTATCAGACTAGACCAGATTTCAAGGGTACTCTTCAAGATTTCAGAGGATGGACGATCTTAGGGTTTGACTGGTAATTGATCGCTAGCATGGATAAGCACAAGTTGTCGACAACGGACTATTAGGGAGTAAGAAGGATTGGGAATCCTTCAATTCTCTAGTGCTGTGAAGACTTAGTCAAATCTAAGTGGGGGAGAATCGATCAGGTACTCAAGAGAAGAAGTAGGAGTGAATCTAGGATGAGTTCGCATTCCCATCAGGGAGGAAGCCGGTCGAGTGGCCGTCTAGGTTGAGGATTGTGTGAGTTGGGAGTTCGGAAGACGTTCCAACATTTGGTTCACATTTTTCCTTGGCATCGGATAGCAGGTTTCGGGGACCATGTTAGAGCTCCAGATAGGACTCAAGTTCAGTTGAGTGTTAGGTCGAGTGCGTGTTTGAACCAGTATGTAAAGTGTTGTAAGACTGCGGGGGTAGCCGTAGCATTCATAAGCGGTTAGACAGTATGGAAAGTGTTTTAAGACTGTGGGGGTAGCCGTAGCATTCACAAGCGGTCAAATAGTATGGACATTGTTGTAAGACTGTGGGGGTAGCCGTAGCATTCAAAAGCGGTCAGATAATATGGAAAGTGTTGTAAGACTGCGGGGGTAGCTGTAACATTCACAAGCGGTCAGATAGTATGGACATTATTGTAAGACTGCAGGGGTAGCCGTAGCATTCACAAGCAGTCAGATAATGTGGGAAGTGTTGTAAGACTGTGGGGGTAGCCGTAGCATTCACTAGCGGTCAAGTAGTGTGAGAAGTGTTGTAAGACTGCAGGATGACCCGTGGCATTGACGGATTCTTTCAGATGATTAGGTCAGGGTGGGACAGTTCACAAGATTGTGGGTAGACCGCAACATGATTGGAATCAGAAAACGGTAGGTCATTGGAGATCAGGCGTGATGTAAGACTACAGTGGTTCTAGTAGCATTCACTTTTCGTATTAGATTCTATGGCGACAGGTAGTCAGACTTTTATGATCAGGTTGATCAGAAGGAATAATGGAGCCATGAGTGGCAATATGGTTAGGGCAGATTTCGATAGCCGAAGTTCTCCTCGGAAGTCGCGTGGGGCGACTGTGAGGTTGCTCCTGGCTCAGCAACCGGGTTGGACTTCAGTATTCCAGATAAGTTGGGACCAGGGAGGTCACGGTGGATTTTGGAGAGCAGCCAGGAGGCAGCATATTGTTTCGAACAGTTTCCATGTTTAGGGCAGTATTAGCGATTTGGGTTTTCGTGTGTATGAGAAGTATCTAAATTGATTGGGTAATGCTAAGTCACTCACAGCGGGATTAAATAATCTCAAAGTAATAGATTTGACCCCGTTGCGCAGCTCTCGTCTGAGTCTAACCGTTGTAGGGATGGATCTTCTACTCGAAGGATTATCTGAGCCTTGGCCAAGTATAAGTGATCTGCAGGGATAATTAGGTCTGTGATTCTGTTTTCCAGTGGGAACCTCCAGTTATCAGAAGTTCAATAGTTAGTTTAGAGATAAGTGGACTAGATTCAACAATAATGATTCAGTATGGGTTGTCTGTCAGAGAGTCAGACCATCTCAAGACTTCAGATTTCAGATCGAGTAAATGCGTTTATGCTGCAAGGAATTCGTTCATCTTTGTGTTGTAGAGCCCTGCGAGGGTTGGTTCCGGTTGCCTTGGAAAGGTTGTGGGATGCTAAGGGTTGTGGCCGAGTTTCTCAAGATGTTTGGCATGTCAGGAATGGTAAGGAGTGATTTCGAGGAAGAAATCTAATTTAAGTAGGGGAGAGTTGTAACATCCCATTTATTAAATAAACGAATAGATAAATTGAATGAATGAATAGTATCCCAAAAATCCATAATATTTAGCGGGGTGTTGGCTTCGGGGAGTTAAACGTCATAATTTTGGAATTGGGGATTTAAAAGTATAAGTGCGGAATGGTTTTGTAAAAATTTCAGAGGTCAGGGAATGTTTGGTAAATATTGGACCTAAATTTAAAGATTTTGGAGGCTAAGGGGCTGAATGGTAATATATGGACTTCAGTTGAAAATAATTTGTAGAGGAGGGGCTGTTTGGTAAAATATTGCGCTTGTTATGAAAGGATTTTTAGAGGCTGGGGCTAAAAGGGTAAATTATGGACTTATTTTGAAAGAAAAAGGAGAAGGAGGGACCGATTGTGCCATTATGGAATGAAGTTTCATGGGGTCGGGGTATATAACCCGTCACCCTCCTGGTAACTCTAACCCTAACATCAAGAGTCAGCCGCCACCTTCTTCTCTACCGCCAGCCGCCGCTATCGGCTCCGACCACCTAGCACCATCGAACGACTCTTGTCGCGGGCAATAACGAAGACCGATGGGAAACCGAGAAAGGGGGCTGCATCAGTTAAAGACCGGAGAAGAAGTTGACATCGTGGTTGCCGCCGATTCGTGACTTTCAGGCTGCCGCCATTGCTGTCAAAGCCGGAAACCATCGGGATGATTTCTCTATCGTCATTCCTGTCGTGGCCGAAGAAGAGGACCAACCTCATGACGTCGTTCAGCCGGGACCACCATACGCCACCTTCCTTCCACAGTGCAGCACCACCAACCGCTAGTGCTGCTGTCGTTTGCAAGCTCATCACGCATCGTAGCTTCATCGTTGCTACGTCCCAACTCCGTCTGCCGCCGTTAGCTACTGCTGCTGTCCGCCATTTCGTGTCGTTGCCACCGCCATACGCCACCAGGTGGGTGGGTGGGTTCATTTTACTAACAGAAGGAGTGTGTGTGTGCTTCTGCCACCAGTGTGCATGACATACGTGTGGTTGTTTGGCCGGATTTCACGAGAAAAGCCACCACCACCACCACTGTGAGGTGGTGGCTAGCACATCCGACCACCGCCTGTCGCCACAAGGGTGGCTGAGCGTGTGTGTGTGTTATAATGGGTGTGTGTGTTATTTGGGATATTATGATGTATAATGTACTGAATGGCCGGAAAACCCGAAGGAAACCCACCACCACCACCGTGAGATGGTGGCTGCCGCCTTCTGCCACCACCAGCCGCCATGTTGGGTGGCGGTATGCATTGTGTGATTGGATTGCTAGTTTAGATGTTTGAACATGTTTTGGTTTAGAATCATAACCACCACCACCGCGAGGTGGTGGCCGCCGCCGTGAGCCGCCATTGACCACCACTACCCGAGGTGGTAGTAGGTGGTGCCCGACTTAATTAACATTAATAAACCTAAAAATTTAACCATTTGTCTAATTGGCACGCGATGGGGTTGGAAACCCTAATTAGGGTTTAGAAAAATAAAACCCTAATTTTGGATATATGGGTTTTGGATTGTCGAGACCCGCGTTTTGGACCAAGGGATTGATGTTATGACTTATGCCCGATTACATTGTATACTTGGCCTAGTGGGGTGATGGCCTTAATGGATTAAGTCCTTAATGGGTTAAGCAGTAACACTTAAACCTAATCGTCATTTTATATGAAAACCCTAATTTTGTTTGGGCCTTGAGTTGGGCCTTCCTATTGGGCTTTGATGATTAAGCTATTGATGGGCCATCCAAGAACAAGTATATGAACTAGAATATTTGAATGGACTTTAGGGTAAGGCCCATGTGAGGGGTTTGGGCCCAATTTGGAAAATTAGGCCATAGGTGGGCCTTGATGATTATGAGATATTGGACCATTGAAATGCCAAGTGTTTGAACTAGAATAAATGGTTGGGCCTTAAGGTAAGACCATGTGAGGGGTTTGGGCCCAATTTGGAAAATTAGGCCATATGTTGGGCTTTGGTTCATTGTTTGACTTTTGGGCCTTTGGATTGGGCCTTGGGTTTGAATCAAGCTAAGTTGGGGTAAAGTAGTCTTTTACCCCAACCATGAACTTATGGTTATGTGTTGAAACCCAATTATTAATTAGGTGTTATTTTGATGTTGACAGTTCGGAAATTTGTCATCCAGCAGCAAGAGTTTTGTCCGTGGGACTTCTGCAGTGTGAGGTGAGTTACCTTCCAGTAGAAGTGGGTCGAAGGCACCAATGTCGGCCCACTAGTAGTTGATTATAGTAGAGATGATTTGTCTTTGTGATAATTGTCTGGTATACCACTATCTGTTATGCTTTATTTGCTAGTATGATATGATATTATGTGATAGTGGTAGGAGGGGTGGGATAGACCCCGTTACCGGTCGAAAGGACCGAAGGGGTAGGCTAGCACCTAGATATGCTAGGCAGCATGTGATTTATGTGTATATGCAAGGGTATTATGTGGTAGTGGTAGGGGTGAAATAGTCCCCGGTTACAGGATGAAAGAGACCGAAGAGGTAGGCCAGCACCCAGATATGCTAGGCAGTTACCGGTTGAAAGAGACCGAATGGGTAGGCCAGCACCCTGATATGCTAGGCGGTTACCGGTTGAAAGAGACCGAAGGGGTAGGCCAACACCCGGATATGCTAGGCAGTATGTGTATTGTATGGTATGTGGTATGATGGGGGAAGTCACTAAGCTTCGTGCTTACGGTTTTCAGTTTTGGTTTCAGGTACTTGTTTTGCAAAAGGAAAGGAGCCGACATGATCGCAGCGCATCACACTATGTTTTCCGCACATGAGATCTTTGGGATTATACTCTGATATTGTTTCATTATGACATGTTTTGATTATTGACATACTGGTTTTGGTATGGGATGACACTATGGATGTTTTTATACTATTAGTTTTATAATAACTTAATTAAAAATGAAATTTTTGGTCTTGAGTTTTGAGATGTTACATGGTATTTAAAAGTTGCTACTATAGCAACAAACGGAAAATGATCTTCGCAACCACACAATTGAAGACTGGAGTGTTGAGCTGGTGGAAATGGATGGCTAATGCTATGCCAAAAGGAGTAGCAAGGAAGATGTCATGGGAGGACTTCCTTGAACAATTGAAAAGTGAATACTTCTCAGAGAGAGACCTTCTGGAAATATGTAATGAATTCCAGAACCTGAAGAAAGGAGAGATGAGTGTTAGCCAGTATGTTGCAGCCTTTCTGGAAAAGATGGAGCTAGTTCCTTACCTAACTCCTACTGAACTCTCCAAGGTAGAGAAATTTGCTAATGGTCTACCAAAGGATTTTGGTTCAATGGTAAAACTAGCAACTACCTTAGAAGCAGCCATCCGAGTTGCCAAATCCTTGGAAGACGTAGTCAAAGGGATAACCACCGACAAAGCAGAAGTTGGAGGGAAGAGGAATAATGAAGAATCCTCAAAATCTAATAAAAAGAATAGGTCAGCAGAACCTAGCCCCAACGACAAGAAGCTTGTGAAGACAATAAGGCAAAATGGTGTAAAAATATAGATGGAAGCATTATGGAAAATGCAAAGAAGAGGTGACATGTTTTGGTTGTGGAAGGATTGGTCACTACTCTAGCAACTGTACCCAAAGCATATATTACAGGTGCGAAGAAGCAGGGAATTTCAGGAATAACTACCCAAGAAAGAAAGAAGTTGCACAAAGATTTTAGGTGACTCTTAGGACTGTAAAGGAGGAAGCAGACATCAGTTTGGGAAGTCAATAGAAGGAAGCCGCTTATCCAGGAAGTTCAAGACATAAATATGGTCATTCCACTTAGATAATATAGTAGTATGTAGTCTGATATATGAGGCATAGAGCATAATAAATTCTGAATATGATTGTAATCATTCCATAAGTTATAAAAGTCTCTAATTATGTTATACTACTCAATGTGTTAAATTGCTATGTAATTTCGTTCTCGTATGATGACTTGGAGAACTACAGGACAATTATTGGGATGAGTATGAGTAGATGTGAAAGGTAGAAGAGGCCTATACTACCAAAAGCGCATGACTCACACTTAGATCAAGATGAGTCGCAAGGTTACTGAGAATCTAGTCTTTGAGTCAAGTTTTTTCATTCCCGTCATTACCTTTGTTTCGGTAATGACTAAGGAGACAATTTTCATTCAGAACATGATGGTCATAAAGAACCGAGTTCGAATAGCATAAATCTGCAAAGTAAGTCAATTGGTTCCAAGAATTATGTCTAGTATAGTAACCAACCTTAGTCGACAAATCGAAGGAAGAGATCAAGGCAATCGATAGAAAGATTGTAGCTTTTGTTAAAAACCAAGCAACCGGTAGCTAGAAGTGATACTTCCTACAATGTGGTTGTACCACATTAGGACATGAAGAAAGGTATCTTTAGTAGTAGGAGTTTTAGAGACCAGAGTCTAGTTCAACATGCATCGCAAGCACCACACAATAGAAGGTCATTAGAATGTGACCATTCTGCCCCGTTTACTGTAGCTAGAGTAAAGAACTAGTCTACGACCGAGTCTCTAGAAAAATTCAAGAAGGAGCAGGAGCCTCCAATAAAGATTGAATTTATGACTTGAAGATCTGGACTGAAGGTTCAATAGAGAATTAAGATACGGGTGCGAGTTGAGCACCGCCAATAGAAGCCTAAAAGTTTGATACTCGTTAGGAAAATTGTAAAAATTGTGATTTTTATAGAGGGGGTACGCATAAGGAAGCCAATAGTACGTCGGTATCCAGTTACCCTAGTTATGATCAAGAAGAGCACGATAAGGTTAATCGTCTTAGAACGGAGGAAGAGAAAATATTGAGTTCAACAACCGTCGTTGATACTAATATTATGACCCTCATATACCATCTGGTACACTTGTACGTTGGTAAAACAATCTAAGAGCTTGTTATGATCTTGATCGTACCACATTGTGTCTTAGGAGAAGATCACTTGTTAATAGCACAAGAAGCAATACTACGGTGAAAGTATTACCGTCATCATGACAATCATAAATTTCTTTCAAGCAGAAAGAAAACTACCAATCGTAGAGACAAATCCAGTATGGGCTTTGATTGGTTGTATGTAACAAGAAAAGCAAGGGTCCAAACCCAAGTAGGGGAGGCCCAAAGTAAAAAAAGGCAACTCGACTTCGGATTCGACATCAAGATCCGAAGAAGTTACAACACCAAAAGCTGAGACTAGAGTTATTAGCTTCAAAAATTATTTTGATATAATGGTAATTTTGCTTCGATAGTAAGGAAACGACATTAAATATCGTGAGAAAACTTGAAACCTTTACCTACGCTTATAGGTAAACGGAATGATCTCATTTTAGATCTTAACATCAAGTATTACATGATTGTGTAGGAACCATGATATGTTGTGAGTTAGAATTGACCAAATGATAAGAGTATACCTTCCTAGGTATAAAGTATGTACAAAATTAGTCCATATAGGATGTTTTCGTAGACTCGTTGTCAAGAATAACTTGAGATATATGGATCTGAGTCCCTTCTTAAATCTTCTTAAAAATGCTTATATTAGTGATAACGTGAAAACGACGTGGACTGGCAAAGTCGAAACCCAAAAAGAGGGCACGTAATAGTTTAATTCGTGGACCTTGCCATTTTCAGAACAGCAGAAATGGTTATGAGAAATACTCGATGTAGTTAGGGAACTTAAGTACAACCCTAATCAATAGAGTTAAAGGATATGGATTTAGGTTGATAGGCTGTTAAGCTGTCATAAAGGAATCTAAAATAGTATTTTGTGTTTAACACAAAAGAATCGACTAGAATAGTATTGTGTGGAAACAAGTACTAAGGAAACTCCTTGCTTGAGGAT